GATTCATTACGCACTCACGAAACCGTAACATTTTACTCACGTGCGTCTTTAATATAGAGTTGTACTCAATACAAGAAGAAAAAGTAAGAGGATTATATCTCAGATATATACTTTACCACATTTTATAAATATGCCTATTCGTAATAACCTGTCCACCTTGGTTATCACTTAGACTATAATTAATGGTAGACAGTATTGGTGGTTAACTTGGCCGGCATACAAAAACTCTCCACAGAAAACTGTGGGGAAAAAAATACTCCCTCTTCTACCTTATATAATCTAACAATAACCCCAATTCAAGTCGTGAGTTGTCTCCCCTGCCTCAAACCCTCCCCATTATCCATTACTAATAACTGTAGCGTGTTATGAAATACACATTCTACCTTAAACATTGACCCTATAAAACAAACTGATGTCAAAAATACATAATAAACCCACTGAAACCTCAATTCATATCATCTGCGGTGCCATTGCATTGAAACCCTCCTCATCCATCATTAGCAACTGTTGTGGGCTATGAAATATATATTCTAGCTTGAACATTGACCCTATAAAACAAACTCGCTTCAAAACTTTGGCAAAATTTTGATTATCACGTGATACTCAGTTTAGAAGTAGCTGATGTTCACCCAATTATCGCAGCATGCCATAACAATTATTTCCGAATATTATATACTTTATTGGAAAAACACAAAAGTATTGATATCGTGCAAAATTTTTGTCAAAAAATATAACATTTACATTAATCTTCATATAACATGTGATTGCTTCACATTTTTCCATTTAACACATGACATTGCGCTCATTTTCTTATTTCCACGAGCAGCCATAATACAAGGAAAAGTTTTGCGATGAATTGGGGCTCAAAACCCCGTACTGACCGGGTGATTAGCGAGATTGTCAACTTTTTGACGTTTTCCAGCAGTCACCGAGGTCCCGCGCTGGAGTCCGCTCAATTCTTTGCCGGATTTTGGAACTTCCTGTCTTCCCTCGTCCGAACTGGAATAATTCAGCATTTTTCCGAATGAAATGAAGTCAACTGACGGCGAAATCCTTCGAAGGTACATTTGCACGTATTTCCCGGCGCGACCTTAAAATAGTAGAAATATCGTCTTTACCTACCCTTGTAAAAGATAAATTAATGTAACATCTCATTTTTTGGACTAAATCTGTTGAACAGACGAACTGTCTTCTTTCCTTATGTGGGAATCGAACGTTTTAAACCGTGACAATTTCCCCTCTGATTACGTCTTCTTTTCTCAACAGATTTCGTGGTTGTCTCTTTATATATCCATTTATTGCTTTGTACCGCATGTATTTATTGGTCGTGATCGCCCACATCCGAGCGTGTTTCTCACAAATGCGTTGAGACATATATATATAATAATTATTATAACTCCAGGTATTTCTCTGAGATCCAATTTCTGTTTAGCTTATGCTGTTGATTTTGCTAAGATCTGTTGAATCATTTTGAAATTGCCATGCTATGTTGGATTGGTGTTGAAGAGTGGCCATATGTTTTATTATATTCATAAGAATAAACAGTATTAACCATTTTTGTTCTCACATCAGCTACTGTAACCTTTTCCTTTACTATTATTCAGTTCGAACCCTGTACATTTCCAAATGTCAAAATAAGACATTCTTCCATATTCTTTCTTAAGTAGCTTATAATTCTTCCCATTTCTAGAAGCACGAACAACCATTTCGCTCCGATCCAACCAATGACCATTTGTTTGAGTGAACTCAGTTCCGTCTTATCGTCCCCATTACTGAGCGGTGCCTAGTTGTCAAAGTTGTTGTACAGACACATTATTTGTTCAAATTCTGAGGATTTTCCACATTCGTGATGAGATGTTTAAGTTTCATGTACATTGATTCAATTGGTACCGTATAAAATCCAGTTTTCACGAGCACCTTCTCATTAACCGTTTCGAAAATGGATTACCTTCTGCCGTTGGATACTGAGAAAGGCACTTTTAGATCATCAAATTACGTGTAACTCGTTGTGAGCTTGAATCTTGAGCGAACTATTCATCACATGTACCCCTATCCCGCATGCTTCAGTACCTGCTTTCTGAATAGCCTGTGAGATTTGTGTCCAGTAGCTATTAGGGTGTTCGGAGTGAGTACCACTAAGGCAGCTTTCTAAGCTGGTTTGGTACTTATGCTTTACCGACGGCAAATCCAATTTCTCAACAGCCAGTCGTTGTTGTCGATGGGGTCGTTGTCCAGCAAAAGTAAGAACAAAACGACAAGGTACCAACGCATGGCTTGAATCCAAGAACGTGCTCTGATAAGAACGACAGTGCTGAACCGAACTACGTGACCCATAACTACCAGTTGTGTGGTCTATGTGAGACCAGGCCTGACTCGGAGAAGGCGGACGTCAAGTATAGCATTGATGTGCACGATGCCTAAAACTAGTGTTGGTTAAAAATAGCTTATGCTCAGCGCACGGCTGCAACAATAGCCCACCATTATCTGACCGAGGCTATCCCAAACCTGCCACCTAAACGAGATTCG